CTGAGTAGGAGTCCCCCCCAGGGACAGCGATGGGGGCTCTGGAAGGTAGGGACTCCCCACCCCCACTCCCAGCCCCCGTGGGTCAGAAATCCATGCTGCTCCTATTTGGAGACAGACAGGAGCCAGCTCCCAGTGGGGCCCAGGACACCGCGGTTGGGACAAAGCAGGGAGATGGTCCAGTTTTCTAAGAACCTTGGGCTCGGAGCAGGCTGGCATCAGGCAGGCTCTCAGAAGTAAGACCCAAGGCGAAGGCTGGACTGGCAGCGAGGAGCTGATGAGGAGGCCCCTTGTGCTGGACTCTGTAACGTGAAAGGAACCGGTTCCACTTGTTGTGGAAAACTGTTTTGCCTGGGCAGGGAAGGGCCAAGTGGCCTCAGAGAGGTCACGAGGGGGTACAGGAGTTTATTTCATGCTCATGAGCCAGAGGAGGGGGGGTCTCCTGAAAATCTGGGCCCAATCATATGCAGAGGGCTTCTTCTATGCTCAGTCACCTCAGCATTTGGGACCGGGATAAACTGGACAGGTTTACGCTTGTTTAGTGAGCATTTGGCTAGAGGGCAGGGTTATTTCCAAGGGGTGGCAAAAGGGGAGGGGAAGAAGTTCCTGAGAGGACCCTTTCGGGTGACTCCCATTTACCTAGTCCTCTTGGAATGCAGGCTTGCTAATGCAGACACAAATCCCCCGGACAAAGGACAAAGGGCGAGTTTCAAGTTGTGAGGGAAGGCACACTTGCTAAGCCACCAGGTAGAAATGCTTATCTGAGTGGACTTTTACAGCATCTCTTTGTGTTTTTATTGCTTTTCCTCTTCACGTTGGGTCCACATGAAGCCCCTAGAGGTTGGGGTCCGCTGAGTGTTCAGGTGGGCACACCTGGCTACAGGTGGAAGCAGGGTCCTGGCCAGCACACACCTTACCGTACCCTCCCTCCGGAGTAGAAGCAACACGCCCATTCAAAGAAGGGGAAACTGAGGCTCCAGTTGCCAGAGGACGCCAGGGAGCTAAATCGGATGTCGCAGCACTGGGGGTCTTTCCAGCACACCAAACGACTAGGGATCCTTCAGTCCCAGTGGCATCCTAGCGTTCCTTCAGTCCCCCACCCCCAGCCACACCCCATTTCTGTGAAATCCAGGCCAGTGTGCTCCCTAAGAGTACATTGATTCTAGGAGTCAAGGGGCTGCTTTTGCCATTAGACCTTCCATCAAGCCACGTCACACCGGAGCACAGTGTGTGTTGGGTACCAGGCAGCCTGGAGAAGCCCAACTGCTCCCCTAAACTCAGAGGCCTTCAGAAGATCCTAACATCACATTGGCAGCAGCCCGGGGCTCTGGCTTAGCCCCTTCTCCCTCTGCAGCCTGATCCCCCACCCTCAGGGGACCTCCTGCTCCCTAGAAGCCCCTCACAGTCCCCTCCTTGCAGACCCTGAAGCAAGCACAGCACCATCAGCCGGCTGCCATCCTGCCACGGAGCCTCAGTGCCCAGCCCACCTGAGCAGATCTCCCAGCGGGCCTGGGACCAGCAGCATAGCATTACCTGGGGGCTCGTTAGGAAGGCAGCTTCCGGGGCCCCATTTCTGACCCACAGAGTCAGAAACTCAGGGGCCAGGCACTGCTCTAAACCCATCTCCTTGACTGCAAGGTGGAGTCACAGGGCGGTGAGAGGGGCAACCCTGAGCCCCCAAACCTGCCCACTCTAAATGGGTTGTGCCATCCGCCACATCAAGACAACACATGTAAGGCCTTTAATGGAAAGGAACTTTAATGCAATGGCTGCACAATATAGAAAAGACAAAGAACATAGTTTCTAAATCAAACCCCAAAGTGACGTGTCCCGTCGTGGGTAAAAGTCCACCCAAAAGGGCTTGATCCAGAGCAAGGCCCGAAAGCCGGGCACAAGTCTAAAGCACTTTCTGGCCGGGACCCACGGAAAAGGGTCAGACATGGCCAGACGAGTCTGGGAGGGAAAGAGCAACATCAAGATCAGATAAACGCGCCACAGTCACCTCCCCACGGGTCTCTGCCCCACGTCTGTGTCACCCTGCCTGGGACCAAGAGACAAGACAAAGTTTCTTCACAGGACCCTCTGCTCCCTGAGCCCCTCAGGTCTCCTCTTGCCTCCATCCTGCTTCCTTCCTGCTCAGTCTCCTCTCCAGATTCTCCTGTTGAGTGTGACCAGATATGGGCAGTAACACAGCGGCTACCTGTGTGACCATATATGGGCAACAACACAGTGACCGGATCCGGGCCTTGATCCAGGGGTACAGCCTCAGGTCAGCTTTAAAAAACGGAACCTCAAGCCTATCTGAGAGGCCCTTTCCCCTACAGCACTGGCAGCTGCTGCAGCTGCGGACCCCACCCTAGGGGACAATACACTGTCCCTGGGAGCAATACACTGTCTTTTCAGCCTTTCTGTCTCCTGACTTTCTTCCTTGGGCCCGACACAGAAATCCGACAAAACACCTCCCTGCTCAGCTTCACCCTCCATGGTGGGGGGGGGGGGGGAGAGGGAACGTGGAACTCCCCTTTTCCTGGGACTCCTGTTACACCAGCAGGCCTCAGTGAGTCAGTGGTCTCAGCCTCCCCGCTACTGCTAGGGTGGGCACAGTCCGCCTCACCACCAGCGAGGACTCCCAGTTATTCCCTACTCGAACCACCACCCCTCCAGCGGGCCGGTCTCAGGCTTCCACACATCCTGTGATTCACTGCAGTTATGCCTGAGTCACCCGATGTGCAGGTACACCTCAGGTCAGCTCCCTGTCTCCTATGCTCTTTGTCTTTTTGCTGAAGGCTCCCCTTCTGAGGCCCAGCCACGCATCCCAGTTTCTCAAACCAACTGCACTGGATCTTTGCAGAGTCCCCTGCCCGCCTTCCCCTCCCCCAGATTGGCCCCCAAGGGTCAGGCTCCCAACCACTTCCCATCCTCTATTCTCTACCAGCAGGTAGGTGACCTCTCTAAACATCTCAGGAGGGCAGTAGGGATGGATAGTCTCCTTGAAGGTAACCTGCTCCAAACACCCCTCTAAGGGAGCTGCTTGCATCCCATTCATTTCCCCTCCTTTTCCCAAAGCAGTTGAGGGCTCTCCTGGATGGCACAGTGGGTTAAAGCACAGCACTTCAAAGCTGGCTGCAGCCTGCTCTGTAGCACCAGTTCGATCCCCAGTCAGGGAGTGACCCACAGGGCAAGGCAGACCTCTCCTGTCTCCCCTGGGCAGTGAATTTCAGCCAGTCTGCCTGTTCTGCTCCCCACTCTGTCTCTGGGGAATTCTATCACAGCCCCCTGCACCTCTGGTCTGTACCCCAATTCTTGCATGCATAAATAAATAAATATATATTTTTTAAAGATCTAAAACAAAAAGCTTTCTGGAGAAGAGAGGTGGACAGGTGCTTCCAGCCAGGTTCCCAGATCCCAGAAAATTCCTTTCAGCAACAAAAGAACCCAAAGGGTCAGGGCTCCTCCCTGCTGCTGTCAAATTAGCTGCCCTCAGATCCCTATCTTAGACTCTGACCCCAGGAGGGCGTCAGAGGAAGAATGAGATGGGGAGATAGCTCAGCAAGCTCGCTTCAGGGGGGTGGGGGGGGGGCTTCCACTCCCTACCAGGGCAATTCCGTGCTTTGGAATTTTAGTGGAGGCTCATGCCCTCCCCCACACCTGCCTGCAGGGATACTGGGCTAACTGCCCTCTGCTTCCCACCCTTGAGCACCAGGGGGCCTAGTTACCAGGCAGGTGCCCACTCAGGGGGGCTGGGTTTGGGAAATTAGCATTCCTAAGGGTCTGCTGACTTATCCTAGGGCTACTAGAGCCCAGCTGACCTGAAGTAAGGAGAGGAAGGGACCCCAAGAGTTTTGAGGTTGGAAACCTAAAGAAATATCTGTGGTGGAGGAAATTGTCTCCTGTCCTCATGTTGCTGGTGCATTTTGACTCCGAATCCCAAAATTAGCTGTTGACAGGCTGGATGGGAAGCACCTTGTCCACTTGCAGCCTGCTAGTCGCGCACAGATGCAAGTCTTCTTCCAAAGAAGGAAGCTAAGAGGGAAGCAGTGAGCAAAGCAGGAGGGAGGGAGGAAAAGGTAGCTCACCTGCCTTTTTATTTTTTTAAGATTTATTTATTTATGCATACAGAGCTGGGGTACAGGCCAAAGGGTGTGGCAGGTGAGAGGATTTCCCACAGACAGAGTGGGGAGCAGAACAAGAAGACTGACAAGTTCACTGCTGAGGGGAGCAGCAGGGAGCCTGGAGAGGTCTGCCTCACTCCCTGGCAGGGGATGGAACTCATGCTGCAGTGGCTGCCCAGGGCTCCATAGTGCTGGCTTTAACCCGCTGCACCGCCAGGGAGGGCCCTTGTTTTAGATTCTAACAGATTAGTAAAGTAAAAATTATAAAGGTTCTTCCCACCTCTAGCATCCGACAGATTACTCCAATGGGAAGCAGGGGTTAGGGAACTGAACCCCAGGAATAAAGGCGTTGCCTGGGAGTTGGGCATGGGCCCAAGACTGGGGAGGGGGGGGCCCTCTGATTGTCCCTGGGCTGCTTAGTGCTTCACCCCACCAAGCCTGTCCTTGTCCATCTGTCCATCTTTGGGTCTGGTCTCCCAGCCTGGAGAAGCAGATCTCAGGCTCATCCTTTGACAGACACCCCCCCCCCAGTCGCCAGAGCCCCTGGGTCTGCGGATCCCCACCAGTCGGTCCCCGCCAGTCGGTCCCCGCCAGGGGCGCCCCACCTCCTCGGGTCCCCAGGACAAGGGCGCGATTGAGTGAGCTGCCGCCAGCCCACCCCGGGGAGGGCCAGTGCTTTTTAACTTGTCATCAAATTCACGATTTACAAGGGCGATCCTAGCTTGGTTGCGTGCCCACACAAGGAGCAGTTTATGTCTCCTAACCAGAAAAATCGAGGGTTCTGCCTTCCTCTTGCAAACAATAATAAATCAAGTGTAAAAATCAGGAAAAAAATAAGCTGCTTAGTGCCCAAGCCTCCTTCCCCTCCTGCTGGGGAGCAGAAGCAAAGCCAATTTTGCCAGGGCTCCGGGCGGCCTCCCCCGGCAGCCTCAGCCTCGGCCCTGTAACTTTAAACCTGGCCTGAGGTCATCGCTTCGCTGGCGCTGGCCAAACAGAGGCGAGGGCGGGCCCGCAGGCCTGAGACCACCTTACAGCCGCTCCCGCCCTCAGCCCTCCAGGAGGATAAATGCGCCTAAACTTGGGGAGTTTTTTCCTAGGCTGCGGCGGCCCGAGGGAGCTTGGCGAACTTTCCGGCGCCGGGATTTTTTTTCTCTTTTCTGTTCCCCGCGGTCCAGACGCCCCCTTGGCGAGCGCTGAAGGAAGGCCTGCGGGGCGAGGCTTTTTCTCCTTGCCCTCAGCCCTGAAACCAGCCCTCGCCTCAGAAAGACGAGTCAGCGAAGATGTGGAAGATACCAGCGCTGCTGTTCGTCTTGGGGAGCGCCTCGCTCTGGCTCCCGGCAGGAGGAGGTAAGACCCAGCAGAGCGGCTCCCCGGTGCTGGAGGGGACTCGGGGACTCGGAGCCGGCTAGCTGGCCAGCTGGAATGCCCGCCCAGCCTGCTGTCTCAAGTTGCCTGGAGCCCCGAGGGGAGCTGCCAGGGCTGCAGGGCCTGCTCGGGAGGAGGGAGGGGAGACCACCTTAGCTGGTGCCAACTCCAGAAGAATCAGCTGAGCGGGGTGCCAGGAGGAGCCCCGGAATCCACAGGCAGCAAGGGAGGAGGCGGGAGGAACGCGCCTCTGGGCCACCCATCTCCAGTCCCCTGCTCGTCCCCAGGGCTAGGCTGGACAGACCGCAGGCACAGCCCCCCAGCCCTGGCACTAAGCCGGCCTCATGGAATGGGGGCCTTCAGGGGTGCTGGGAGCTAGTCGGAGTCCGCCCCATCTTGGGAACCCCTCTATGGACAGATGCTGTGTGCGCAAGGCCTTTAGTGGGGAACCCCCTGAGTCGCCTGGAGGAGTGGGGGCAGGGGTCTGGGGTCTTGTCTTGGCAGACGTCAGTCACCTGTGAGCACCGGTACTCCCCAGGCTGCCGGGTGCTAGGGCCCGGATGTCCTCCAGCCTCCATCCCACTCCTCCTTCTCCCTCCCCTTCTCATCCTGCCTCCTTCCCTGCCTGCTGTGTTCCTGGCGTCCCTGGGCACCTGTCAGTATTTTACTTTTTTGGGTTTTTATTACTTAGGTTTCCCCAATAGAATTTAAGCTCCCAAGGGCACCGCTCTGTCTTATTGTGTCCGAACCTTCACTGCCTGGGCAAAAATAAATGCGGCACATGGTTGTTCTCCAAATGTGGGCAGGTGTAGAGCTCTTCCGGGTTGGGTTTTAGGTCACCACTATAAGCCCGTACCCCAAAACTACCCTGTGCTAATTGTTTTCTTTTTCCAGTGCATATGAAAGTATGCTTATGCCGTAATGCAAACTAGTAAGTGTGCAATTGCATTATGTCTCAGGAAAGAAATCTATACCTTCGTTGAAAAGTACTATATTGCTCAGAAATGCTAGCCAACCCCCTAACTGTTGGAACAGAAACCCCCCAGGCTTCCCCCCAGGCAGGGTTGCCTGAGACCTGCCATTTGTTTAAAAAAAAAAAAATACAAGCGCATTAGCCATGAAAGCCATCAAGTGCAGTCTGCTCCAGCAGGGTGTGCCTGCGGGGTGAGGGCATTGGAGGCTAAGCAGAGATCTTTGGAGTGAGGGCGGCTCAGCAGGTATCCCGAAAGGTAAACTCCTAGACAGTTTCCAGACTGAGGGTGGAGAGTGTGCCCGGAGGCTCCATGGCGGGAGTGGCTCCAGGGAGGAGTGGACTAACCTAGTATAATTCCACGCAAGGATCAAAATACCCAGCCTGGGAAAATGACCAGGGTGTCTAGTGGGCTGGGCTCTCTGTGCTCCAGACTGGCTTCCGAGGCCCCACGGCTATTTGCGGGCTTCCTGTCTTTGGAACTTCTCCTTGCAAGGTCCTGTGCACAGCCTGGTGTTCAAGCCTCATTTCCCCTCTGACCAGACACTTGGGGCCCGTGATATAAGGTGTGGGAGGGTCCCCCATGGACCCCAGCCCCGCTGCTTCCCACTTAGGCAGCAGGTGAGAGCCCCTCTCTCCCTTAAGGGGCAGCTGTCCCCAGGCTAAGCCAGTTCCCAGTCAACCGTGGGTGGTGGTGGTGGTAGGGAGGGTGGTGAACCTTGTCTGAGAAAACCATCACATGGGTCCTAGACCGCTCTGTTAAAGAAAGAAGCAGCAGCAACCCCCCAACCCCCAGCCAGCATGTGGGGGCTGGCTGGGCGTGAGGCAGAGTCACAGGGCTGTGGCAGGAGCTAAGACCAGGAGGGGTTTTGTCTGAGGATAATGAGTCGGCAGCTTGAATATGGATGAACGACTTCATTGAAGTGAGCTATTGTCAGCTTTTCTTGGGGAGCTGGGTTGGGGGTAATGATGGTGATGAATTTGATTATCCTACGGCCCACTGGGCTTATCTCATCTAAGTGTTTTTATCTGGCTCAGTTTTATAGTTCATGGATCGACTGAGTAAGCTCTGTGGTCCCCACATCTGGAGTTTTTCCTCCAAGACAGGCCCCACCCTCCAGCTGAACTTTCATCCAAAACATGTCCTTCAGGGCCTCTCTGTTGGGTAGTTTGTTTTGTGAAATTCCTGCAGGCTGCTGCTTGCTGTAAATGCAGTGAGCTTTCCCGGACCACTCCACTCAGGACTAGTCATGTGCTGAACAAATTTCCCCGGAACTCTTGCCAGTTGCAAAGGCCCTGGATCTTGGGGAGTTGCTAGGAATCTTACCTCAGGCGAATCCAACTTCCAGTGGAGATCAGGTCTGCCCAGGCCTTGGTGAGCAGACTGGTGTAAGAGATCCAGAATAGCACTGGATACAGCAAAGCACATGTCGAGAAAATATCTAGGCCTAGAGAGACTAATTTGGGGCACAGGGAGTAAACAGAACCCCAGCCAAGCAAAGATATACAGGCCCTTCCTCCTCTGGCCTCTGAAATAAGTAACTCTTAAGACACACAGAGAGACCCCAAAACCTGGGTGGATAGAGGGACAGCACATCCCCCCCCCATCATCTTCTCCCCCAAGGATTCCAGAGGTCACAGCCCCCTCATTCAGTTGCCACATCCTTACAGGAGGACACTACAGGATATTGCCACAAACAATAAACTTCACACCGAACTTTGCAATTAGAGGGGACCCTGACTTCAAGTTCTTGACAAGTGAAACAAAACTTTTCAACATACGGTCAGTACTTAGCATAGTATTCCTTTAAGGATGAAATGTACTTTGAACTTGATTTCTTTTTTTTTTTTTTAAATTTATTTATTTACTCATACAAGAACTGGGGCACAGGCCAGAGGTGCGGGGAGTGAGAGGCTTCACCAGAGACAGAGTGGGGAGCAGAACAGGCAGATGGACTGAAATGCACTGCTGAGGGGAGCAGCGGGCGGGTCAGGAGAGGTCTGCTGCGCCCTGGGGGTCACTCCCTGGCCGGGGATTGAACTGTTGCTGCAGTGGCTGCAGACAACTTCATGTTGCTAAGACTTAACCCGTTGTGCTCCCAGGGTGGCCATGAATGTGATTTCTTAATTCATTCCCCAAAGAGGCCCCAGGCTCCCTGCAGCTCTGTGTCCAGCTCGTGTAAACGCGGGACTTGAAGTGCAGGCGTTTGAGAGCACCACACCTCACTGCAACGTGTGCTCTACAGTCTTCACCGGTAGGGCTGGATCGGGGCCTCAAATTCCACTGGCTTATCTGAATAGTTGACATATTTCTGGCTCCTAAGAACCCACATGCCAGGTTCCAACTTGTGGAAATATGACGGGGGAGGACGAGCAGGGAGAACCAGGACGAACCCCTGGCACTCCCTCAGGAAACTCACTTGTGGAATCGCATGAGCTCCTGGACAGTTCTCCAAGGAAGCCAGGCTGCTCTGCCGTCCTGAGACCTCACAAGGGGGTGTCGGAGGAGAGGGGCTTCTGGAAGAGGATTGAGTGAAAGGGTGGGGGACAGTGCCCGAGATAGGGAACCCACACGATGGACCAGACAGAAAGTAACCTTTGATTGGGATTTGAATCCTCTCCCTGGTGGTTTCGTAAATCTTTCGGTGGTGGGTGTAGTAAGTGATGGGGCATTTTATCCCAGAGCAGTGAGATAGGTCACCACACAGCTGGAACTCTGCCAGATTCCTGCGAGGCAGGAAAATGAGGTGGCTGTTTTCCTTCCATGACTCCCCTGAACCCACCAGCCAGCCTGCTGCCCCGCGGGCCTGACTGCAAGCTTTCCCTTGAGCGTGGCTGGGCGAGGGCACCTTTGTCTGGGACCTGCTCAGCTGAACGGGTTTGTCCTTCGAGGGAAACCAGCACCTGACTTTCTGAGGAGCTGCAAACGAATTGCTCAGAGAACACTAAACTTCACATAGGGGGAAAAAACACCGCACACAGCACACCTCCGGAGGATGATGACACTTCCGGAGGAAAGATGTGCTCCCGACCTCTGTCCAGGGGCACAAGCTGCTGGCACTGGGCGGAGAGAGAATCGCTGAGCCACTCGGGGGTGGTAGTGGCCATTGTTCTGTTTGTGGGGGGATGTCAGTTGCACCGAATGTACGGGAGAAGCAGGGAAGGGGCCACCCTGGTGAACAGCAGGTGCACACACTACAGGTGAGAACAGAGTGTACCCCGAAACTCATCATGGGTCCCTACCCACGAGAATCAAACAAGCCTCGTGAGGAGAGTTGTGTCCAGCGAACAGTATCCTGGGCAGAGGAGTAGGGAGTGTGATTCTAGAATCTAGAGGAGAGGAGTGGGTGGCGTTAAACCCACTTGTCTTGCCCAGGAACCTGTTGACTTAACAGATATTTACTGGGTGACTGTGAGTTCGGCAAGGCAAACGTTTCCTGGCTGGTAGCCCCCGGTAGGCGTCTGGCGGCTGTGGGTGTTCTCATGGCCATCCAGGTGGTTCTGGGGTGAGTCAGGGGTCCGGGTCAATGACAGTCTGGAAGTGTGCCCCACCCAACAGCCACATCCTTCACACCCACCCCCTGCGTGCCAGGCCCCTCTCCAGGCCAGGGCACGCCAGGATAGCAAATAGCATGTGCCAAATTGGAGAAGTGTCTCTCGTTCCACATAAACTGGTGTCTTCTGAGTGGGCACTCTTTGTGATCAGTTTGAACTCCTGGCTCTGAAGCTAAGGGGACTCAATCTTGGCTCTGGTTAATAGCAAGAGCCACATGTAACAGCTAACGCTTGCTGAGTGATTCGCACGTGTACCTGCTTTCCAAGCCCCGTTTCACTTAATCCCCACCAGAGACCCACAGAGTCAGAGCTGTTCGGATGTCATAGACTGAGCAGAGACGCAGCGGGTCAGTCAGTCATGTAGTAGCAGAGAGAGTGGCTGGCTCTGGTGAACCCCACCGCAGGGCCCACGCCCCACAGCTTCACCTGGGGTCAAGGCCACCAAGGACCCCCAGGA